TCGGATATTAGTTTCAGTATTACTTCAACGCCTAACTAGAGCTTGTGAAGAGAAGACTCGTACAAACTAGGGTGGTTTCAAACCTGGAAAATAGATGCAAAATTTACACTATCAGGTGATAGAACACGGATTCACATGTGTGCATCCGACAATAGTTGTATTTCTCGATCTTAAGGTGGCGTAGAGGTTTTGTGATAATGTCTGTCATTGGAAGGAGTACCAAAGTAGTACATTAATATTGCACAGGCTCTCTACTCGAGCAATACTGGTCGAGTCAGAGCTTATGACAACCTGTCTTCGGAATTGATTACTTCGAGTGGTGTCCGTCAGGGCTGTCCACTTTCTCTATTCCTATTCAACTTTGTGATTGACATGCTTTTAGAGACAACACGTCAATCATGTGACTTTTCAAGAGTTGACCTACTAGGAGATTCACTTGTTTACTTAGAGTATGCCAATGAGATAGTTCTATTCATTGAAGACGCTGACAAGATGAAGAGTCTTCTGACCAGCTTACTCAACTGTTGATTCAGGATTGGCTTGCATCAGCACCTGAACAAGTTATAGGGAATGAAGTAGTTGAGCGTGTTGACCGCTTCACTTATCTCGGGAGTCTCATCATTGCTAGTGGCCTAGTGGGTGTAAAGTACCGTAGCTGGGGTCCGCTAGTCAATCGTAACCGATAGTTAGAGACTTTGGATGACATGGCTCAAACTTGTTTGCAATGGCGCAGATGCATTCATTGTTTGTCTTATCACAAATGACATATTTTCTCTTTTCGAATTTATTTCACTGAGATAAACCTATCAAATCATGCCTTCGATCCCTAAAGTTTTCCAGTGCCACTAACAATTCTTCTACTTCTACCACTATGAGATTAAGACTAATAATTCCGTCTCTCTGTGCTAATGTGGTATGGCAACTTGCATTAATGTATGTACGTACCAATTTCTACGCTGCAGCTGGCTTACTGTTTGTCGTGAAACGTAACATCCTTTCGTTTTTTAAGTTCTGAATGAGACGTTTTCGTCGCAGATATTTTCTATTATTCTTGATGCATGGAAATGAGATTTTTAGTTTCTTAAGTCAGCTTCTTATGTTACCCGTAATTAGGATCCATTATCCTTGTTGGTTTCTTTATCTCTCGTTGTCCATGAATTTAGGTTGACTTCTGTGTTTCACTGATGTGTTTAGCAGATTGTTGATTGACTTATTCTCATCAAGTTGTTAGATTTTATGCCCAGTTATATTTGTCAACTGCTTGATGATCGGTTGGACGTAATCCCATCTGACTGGTCTCAGTCGCTAATTGTCCCAATCTATAAGAAAGGACGAAAGTCTTCTTGTGACAACCACAGGGGAATCAGTATAACTAATATAGTTTCTAAATTGTTAGCCTCGATTATACTTAGACGTCTATGGGCAGCCAAACCAAAACGTGGCAGAAATCCATGAAGTCACTGACTAGTGGACTGAGTCATGTTGGTAGATGTAGACTACCTGGTTGGGGTCCGCGAGACGATAGTCACCAATGGTTAGAGACCTTGAATGATATGGCTCAAAATCGTTTGCAATGGTGCAAGTGCATCCATTCGTTGAGCTCTCTCAAATCCTAATCTTCTGGATTCGTCAGCACATCTACCTTTGTCTTTCTAACCTTATCTCACTGAATTATATTTCTTGAATAATATCTTCGAACCCTAGTCTTCCTCATTACCATTAATACTTCTACTATCTTTATCACTGTGAGATTTGATTTGACATTTACGTCTCTGTGCTAATGTGGTATGGCAACATCAAATTATGTACATACGTACGAAGTTCTACGTTCCAACTGACTGACTGACTGATGATCGGTTGGGATGATATGTTTCCAAAGATTTTTGGACACTGATTCCTGATTCCAAATATTAAAGTTTGGCTTGTTAAATTTTTATCGTTAGTTATCTTAATGATTACCCCGTATCGTATCATTTCATTGATTATTTATGGTAATGTATATTTACGCATGAAAACAGTATCGTTTTTTTGAGGATAATTTATTTTGGAAAATAAGATTTACATTTCCGCATTTTGCACATTACATTATAACGAAGTGTAATGATTGTATTAATTCATAAGCTAGCTACATTAATTCCAAATTGGTTTTCAAATATATTTGATTTTTCATATTTTCTCAGCGTTATTTGTTGACTAGTTTTTTTTTTTTTTTGGAGGTTGATTTTGTGATAGTACGCTTGACGTGCATTTTGTTCTAGTTTTTAGAGATGTTATTAAATGAAACAAAAAAAGTCTCTTTTGAAAGTGCACCACCCAATTTATCTTAGCTCTTTTCAATAGTGTTTGTTTGTATGCTATTATTCTTCTTATGTGTTATTGTAAGTTTATTACTAATTAGTGTAGGTTGTTTATTATTATGTTTTACTCTGAATAAATTGATAATATTAAATAAAATACCAATCTTTTAAATCATATTATATCTTTTTGTCCATCTGTCTGCTTATCACATCATCATATTGTTTAGTGTACTTTGTGTAATATTATTATTATTATTATTATTATTAGTAGTAGTAGTAGTAGTAGTAGCAGTAGTAGTAGTAGTAGTATTCATAAGTGAATCGATAAACAGCTTCCATTTTAAGTTGAAAAATGTCATTTGATTTACAATTTTCATCATAACCTTGTAGAATATAGTGCGTCTTAGGCTTGTGGGTCAAAAAGATTTCTATGCCTTGATGATTAACTGAACTAACTATCTACTAATGTAATGATCATTGACTGACATTTAGATAATTATTTTTCATCGTTTCTCTATTTACATTTAAGCCATTAACAGTAGTTATTTGTGTTAAGTGTTTCATCAATTAGTCATAATCAACATGGAGTCTTGAACAGATAAAGTTAAGCTATATGTACACCAGCGAGACCCCTGGAAGCAGCTTCAGGGCTACCGGATACACGAAGGGTGAATCGAGTTGCGTCTTTATCTTGAAATAGTGAGGTCAAGTGAATGATGTTACTTGGATTCTGTATGCGCGTTTCCGAGACGCAGCATACATCGATGGCACGAGATTCTAATATTCTAGCTAAGGAAGCCTTTTGCCCTACTTGACACAATGTCCGTACATTAAATGCTCCAACATGTAGTCTAGGACGGGGTTTCAGTAGACCAGGAATAACTTTTCGTGAACTCGCATCGTTTGCATTAGCGGTGCAGTGAGATAAAGGAATGTGTGAAGAGTTTGTCGTGGAGATAAGAGAGGTATTAGGGTGTGTGGGAAGGATTTGATTTTGACCAATTTGATCTCGTGTGCTGTGACGGGTATGAGGGAGGTTTTCACTTCCCGGCTGCCCACACCGTGGAAGTGCTGTACCATAACATTAGGAAGATGAAGTGAAATTGTGAAGATGAATAACAAATAACTTGAGAGAACTTAGTAGTATCAGTGATAATTCAAAGAATAAATATTAAGAATAGGTCTTAAAAAAATGCAAAGTTGAAAGAGGTATATGTGAAGGAATATTGAAGTTGTAGGTTCATCTCTCGCCTACTTTGTACCTTTTCTCTTATGTTCAAGGCAGCACAGTGTAGATTTATTCTGAGATTATTGAGAAACCGATAGGAATTTAAATTTAGCGTTCACTAAGCACACTTATCAATTTGTATTTGCCGGTTTAATTGTTTCATATCTTATCATAGTGTAGTGAAGGAGAACACAGGTTTAGTGCGCACCACAATAGGTTTGAAAATATTAATGTTATTTATGTTTTTATATATGAATGACATTTATACTCTTAAAATAAGTATACCAAAATACACGATAGTTATACTAAAGAAAAATAGAAGATCATTATCATAAGATAGCAATAGAAAGCCCAAGCACAGTGAAATTTCGATGCAAAAAATGGTAGTTTTAATCGTTCAGTTTAGAAATAAGATGTTTTTTTTGTGTATATTTTTTAGCACACAAGAATGATGCGTGAAATCCTTTTATTATTAGTATCTGCTAGCCATCTAGTTAATAATGTGAAGTATATTAATAAAGCACTGATAGTACGGCTAAGGATTGGAAGAGTTTTCTCTCTCTTTTGAAATTCGTTTATACGACCATGTGTTTATATGCTGTTCAACGGAATCCTCACTCACTCACTACACAGTGCAAGAGTGTTGTTGTAAAAATGTTAGAATGAAAAGCGAACACTTGTCGCTGAAATCGTGTCAGTTTATGTTGGGACAGTAGTATAGTATATACAGCTACAGGATTCTAAGGAATGCATAGTATATGAGTCTAACCCGCTACCATAGTTCTGTATCTTTCTACATTGCTTCCCACTACATTATGTATCAGACCACTAGGTTAAGTGCTACCGTTTTAGTCAACCTTGTATGAAAGCCACTTACTTCAGTTTGATCTCGCGGACAATATCCCTCCACATCTGCAAGTACAGTTAATAATCAATTGTATAACACTTAAACTTTCGGCTTCCGATTGTATCGGATTTTGTGTAATAAGTGAATAATAAAATTCCTAATAACGAACATCATGAATATGAGTTAGTTAAAGGATTATATATATATATATATATATATATATATATGGGTTACGAAACCATTTTCGATTTGACCTGTGCGGACCTGGAACGCCTTGAATCCAACACATCATGTCCTGAGTTCTGACTTGGTTGCCTGGACAGATTGGGAGACGCCGAATGAGGCTGTTCTTCAGGATCCGCTGATTGTTTCTTGTCAAGATTTGGCGAAGCCGATTTCAGTGCATCATTTAGGCGATCCAATAAAATTTGCTTTGTCCCAAAAGTATTGAGACCACTCCTACCTAACTCAGCTCTCAATTCTGGTACTTTAAGCTTAGGCACATCGATGTCCTCACTCATCCTTCAATGGCGAAACTATATACATATATATATATATATATATATCTATATAATATTGTTATTTCATTCGTAATTTAAATAAATTTTCACTCATCAATGATGTACTACATTTTATCCCATTGAATATATTCTATTCTTCATTAATAATATAATTACATTAGGTATTATCTATGGCTCCTGGTTTAACCGGTTTAAACATTATTCCATTTCGTGTTGCTGCCTACGATAAAACAATTGGTAAAATGTCATTTTTCAATCCAACACGTCCATCAGATTTCTTATTTATTTCTGGTACAAAAATGCGTACATTAGCTCGTGAAGGTATGGAACCACCGAATGGTTTTATGGCAGACAAAGCATGGAAAGTTTTATCCGATTATTATTGTCAATTAAATAAGACTGAATAAGAATGAAGAGAGTACATTGTTAGTTAGTTTGTTTCTATCTGATGTGGGAAAAACGAAACTATTCGTGTATATTTCTTCAACATATCCAAATGTCTACACTCTTCCTATTTTATCTAGCTCTGTCTGTGTCTGTGGGTGTACACGTGGTTTAGAAATCCAGGCAAAACATATACTCTCCACTGTCTTATGTTGTAGTTTTTAATTTTTATTTTAAAACCAAAAAAATTAAAACATTTTATTTTTCATGATTCTTCATTTATTTATTATTGGTTACTACATATTTTTTGTGAATTTTTTTTAAAAAAACAAAAAAGTAAAAATTCAAATATTTCATTTGAATATTTTCTAACAGTAATTTTTCTTTTAAAAAAAAATCTTTTAATATAAAGCCGTCACCATGATAAATTGTCTACATCATACATGACTGACTACTTACGCGTATAATTAAAAATTTTCAGCATTCATTGTGATAAATCATGAATTAAAAAAAACAATTTTGTTTTTCTGCTATTTTTGTGATTTTCTCTTTTTCCTCATTATTTTACAATCATGTATGCCTTCTACACACACACATATGTGTGTAACTTTTTTTTCCTGCAATTTGTCAATACAAACCAATCATCTCATTGGTTAGTACAATATTCTCCATCAATGTACTCTATCTGTCTATCTATCTGTCTGTCTATCTATCTGTCTGTCTGTCTGTCTATCTGTCCATCTGTCTATCTATCTATCTGTCTGTCTATCCATCTCTTGAGCTCACTTTCTCTCTCTCTCTCTCCACATATATTGAACGATGTTCATCTATCGATTTTATCCTATTCATTCGCTCATTAAATACCAATTATGTGCCTAGAGAAAGAATTTGGGAAACAAAAATCAATGGGGCTTTTGTTTATTGTGATGATAATTAATATTTCTCTTTTTTTTTACAAAAAAATGTGTTTATATATATATGGACGACTTTTATGATAAGAATTTTATTTTGATTAATATTACCTAGTTTTTCTCTAGTTTTTTTTTGATTGATTCGTCTGATTTTTTGCTCTGTTTTTAATATACAATGATGATCATGATGATGATACGCGATATGTATTACCTGTGGAAATGCATATTTTGTTTTTTTTTTTTGGTTTTTTCAAAATTATGTATACCTTAGATGGCGCAATTTTTGTTTGTGAACAAAAAAAGAATCTCTTTTCTAAAATTTTCATTTTTTATGACTTTTCGACATAATAAGGATTATTTTTTTTGCTGTGGTAATTTGTTCTAATACAACTCTGATGCAAATGAGATATTTTTCTATCTATCTCTCTGTTGAACAATTTGCATTGGACTGCTGTAAGATTGTGAAACATAGATTAGAAGTCATTTATCAATATTTTTTGAAACCTTGAACCCATGGATCAATGTTAGACCACCACTGAGAAACCTGGAAACACTGGATGGCTCATATCAGGACGAAACGGCCGTCTTTCGGTGCTTCCAGGTTTCTAATGGTGGTCTAACATTGATCAATTCATGGTTTAAAAAAATGTGTATAACTTAATTAACATTCTTCACAATCCCGTAACAATATATTAGTTGTATTCATGATTACATATATTTTCAAAGCATTGTGCAAGTGTAGTGGAATAGTAGTAGCAGAACGCTGTGATAAATCATTGATTTTAAGTGTCTCTTCTAACTTACATATACCATCAGTAGATTGTTGAGAAATATGTTATGTGATGGATGGGCTAAGCATACAAGAGGTGGGGAGGGGAGGTTTAGGATCGATTCAGGTATCAAGTTACTAGCAGCTGTATTCAATGAATAACTACTATCTGACATTCAACACGGTCGAATTCCACTGACCATAGCTTCTTACTAGAACTCTGTGATTAGGGGGTTCATATTGACCAATTGAAATATCTAATTCAAAAGTGTATTGAAGTGATAATGTGGTGCGAGCTACTTATAAGTAGTATATGACGCGAGTGTCAACGTAATGTCTGGATGGAGGAAGATCAAGAAAGGAAGAGTTAGAACACAATGGAATTTGTATGAAACGCATGAATAGTGACAATGGATTGATGTTGTTTGCAACAGGAACAGTGCAGTTCGATATGATGGGTTGATATTTTGCAAATTAACGATTGACGATATTTTTTTTCCAATTTTACTGAGTAACTCTGTAATTTGAGATAAATACAATTCGGTTGCCCCACCTGTGTTCTCGTTCACTACAATAACAATCTTCTTTATTTTTATATGATCTAGTAATTATTTGTCACGTTTACCACCAGTTTGTTGAATATAAAATTGTCAATAAAACAAGTATATTCATTTAATTAATCTTTCAAGGATGAACTGATTACGTATTTCAAAATAAGTAGATCACATAAATAAAGAAAAATACTATAATCCTATTAGAGCTTAGGATCAGATATTAAGTCAGGACAAATTTTTTTGAAATTCAAACTAATAACATCATTATGGAATGATAATTTATTGAAATATTTATTTTTACACATGGAAATCATCAATCGATCATTGTTAGATGATCATTAGATAATTGGGAACACTGAACGGTCGGTTCGTTCTGATATGGAACTTATCAACAATGTGCATCCACGACTTCTGCACTTCGCGGGATTTGAACACAGGATCTTCGTTCTTGCACTCGAACAGCTAAACTATTGACCAATGAAGCGACATCCAACGGTGTTAATGTCTAACTCTGATTGATCTAGGGATTTTTGTGCTACCTAACCCATTTGTCTTCGATATTTACGGCCTACACCCGATAGGGTTGAACTCCACTGATCACTTTTTTTCTTAAATCACTCAACTTAAACAAGATGTCATGTCCGTTAGACAATTTAGTAGCTGTTTGGATTTAGCAGTTGGGTGAAAATTTCGTTTTCAGTTGAATTCTAAGGTTATTGTGTAGTGCCTCCACATATATTCCAGTTCGCTTACATCTAATTTGGTTAACTCCTTTCGAATAATTTATTGAACCAAGCCATTTGCGTAGCCACAACTTCTATGTACCATTCGTTCATATTATTGTCTGGTTTGTATGAGCTCACATGACTTGTCCCACTTGTCTTTTGACCTTGTCAACCGTTCGTCGCTTTTATTGATGTGTGTGCATGCCTATCTCGTTGGTCACATGTCTGTCTTGTTTTTGTGCGACTATATATTCTTAGTCATGCTTTATCTCAAGGAGTTGGCTCATTAGCCTTCTCCACATTGCTTCTCCACTTCGCTTTGTGGTGTGTACCGGATAAACGTATTCATCACTACGAGTTCACCTTCTGATATATAACCGTCAGACACTACTTAGTAACGACTGTCTGGACGAGCTAATTACCGAGCTTAAGAACACGCAGTAAATCGACACACTACAATTGGTCCGAGTCACGATGTGAAAATCAACACCAGTTTACAGGTTATTCCATCTGACCAGTTCCAAGTGTGATGAAGCGCACATTCTGGATTTCACTGTTAGCCCTACTTTATTTAGTGTAAGAAATCATCTCAAAGTCGAGGCAATTTACACAGGCCTCATAAACTAACAAAAACTGATCGAAATTCAATGTTGAATAATATTAAAAAAGGTAAAATTCAATCTCATAAGTGAAAATTGATAATAACTGCACGTTTCCAAAAGGTGTTTGACTTGAAGAAGCATAAAATCTACTGACGTCATCGTGATCATGGGCAATTATTTTTAAATACTGAAATAACATTGGTTGCATAACAAGATGAAACTAGAAAAATTACAAGGAAGCACTGATTAACAGTTTTAGCGTAGTTTTAGTAATCGAAGCCATGACATATGTTTTGATGTTTGTTTATGAAGTCGAGATGCAAGTTAGTAAATGAATGTAACAGTAAGTTTTCCATTCATAGTGAATGATAATCGTGCTCTAGCCCAAACACAATCCACTGAAATGGATAATACAAACGATTGGATTTCAGCTTGGCATCTGATAATTTATATTTTTTGTTTGACATTGTAGGGTCGGGAAATTAAGCGTTTATCGGGAATTAGATCAGAACAACCCAGATATATATATTTATCAGTATCCGTTTTGGACTTAAAATGTGCGCACTTTTTATTGAGTTAAGTAACAGGATTCGCATTCTACAGTGACTAACTTCCTAGAATACATCGAAAACATATGTAAGCGCCTACATATTTTTCCATGTATTGTCCATCATATGTGAGGAATAAACATTTCATTTTATTTTCTCTCAATACTGCAGTGGCTGGATGGGAATTATCGACCGGCACAGAGCAAATTCAGTTTGAGCGCATTCATGTTAAGTTCGTTATTGCGTTCATTCGGTATTCTACTTCAGTCGATGTTAGTTTTAGATGAATTGACCACAAATTCTTCATAAAACTAACTCAGAAAAAAGTCAAATTTTTAAAATCTATTCATAAATCTGACGTGATTTGTTTCAATATCAATAGGCATCAAGGAAATCTATCCTACCAGTGATAAAACTCTTGTCTTGTATGCTGAATTTTGAGTACCCGACCAATGAAGTGCAATACCGTAAGCAACTCTACTCTAAAAAATTCTTTCCTTCAGTTTTGCGTATATCATGCCAAGGATAGTCGCGTTTGTGAAATGGCAGTTGTAAGAAGCCAAATACAAACTAAGTTTCATTAGCATATTTCAATTACTAGTTCAATCAGACACATAAGAGCAAAAAACAGGGTGAAAGAAAGGCGAATTAAAACAAATGAAAGGAGGCGGGAGAAAATATTCATTGTCATAAGGCAGGAATACGTATATAATCGACAGAAAAAAGAAGCAGATAAGTGATATGGTTATTAATTAAAATGGCTGAATCGATTAGTGCACACATGAAGGTGAAAAAAGCAATCAATTTAGGGATATTTCAATCAAAATTCAAATCAAGCAGCTCGGATAAACTAAATATCGCTTCGAATAAATTGACTGGTTGGATAACTAGATGTGGTAGAACACAACTGGTGTACAGAATGATAACAGACGGGAGACAATAGACTCGATGACAACTTAAGGAATATCATTGAACTATGTGTTGACAAATTGCATTATATCACAACCAGAAATCACAGAAACGATACACAACAACAAGAACAACGAGAAAGTGATCTAATATAGGGAATCCTGAAACATAAATGTTAAAAAAAAATTTCAATTCAGCAGTTTGAATTGAAGAATTCTGACAACTAAATTCATCATTCAGTGTAACTGTTTTACATCTGCTACCTGACTTGAACGCCGAGAGAAATGGTAAGATTTACTTTCGAGGATTTATATGTCATGCTTTGTGCAAGTAACACACACCGTCAATCAGAATGATGGAACATAGTAATGATTAAAATGAAATAACGGATGAGATGGAATGAGATATATCCCCAACTTGAAGCAAAATTGCGTTATAACAACTCAAATATGTTTGACTTTGTATACATTATTTACTTTGATTCGGCCGTTTCAATTAACTTGTTTAACAGACATTCAGTCGTATAGCAATAACCTAACCGTGTCATTCTGCATTTATTATTGTCGCGTTTGAATGAGCTGGTAGGACTGAGCATCGCTTTAATGTTAGTCAGTTGAACGTTTCGAACAGTCATTGTTTTTCCTGCGTATATATATATGAACATTTTAATCCTAATCACTGACCCACTCGCTATTTGGCACTCTCATATCATTCTCACCCTCGTTTTGTGTGTCTGTGTTAAAGTGATCAGTATGATGCGATCATTAACGTAATCGACGCTTCGTATTCGTCTACTGATTTATATATCGTTGAGCGTTATCTGGTAACAGTTATGAGGACGATGTTTGGGAATTATATGGAATGTCGACCGAGACAGTGTGCACTCTCTTCAGGAGAATGGTAGATGTGTGTGTACTAACTGATGGTCGTGGTCGAAGGTCTATGCTGAACTGTTGTTTACTATTGATGTAATCTCTGAAGTTAGGTTTATGCGTGTGACAGAACGTTGTGCTGTTAACTAATGTGTAGACAAACATGGTTGTCGGTAGTGACCGGTTAAACAATCGCCTGCATATGCTGATTGCTATCAATCTATTCTCCAATAGAAACTTATCACAACACACACACAAATAAAACATGGAAAAGAAAAGACATGGAGACTTATCATGAGATTGGAAAGATTGTTATTTGTCAAAAAGACGTTTACAAAAATGATTGGTTTCGGTGTAGGACAATTGTTCAAGCTGTTCTGTACAATTGGCGTCCAATGTAATTACCTCTGAAATTTGGTTAGAAAGATGAAAGGTTAGCAAGTTGATTTAAATATGACGAGACTAAGTTCATCAGTTAATTGTTCATGCTGATTTATTAATATCATTGAAGTCGAAACATCAACGTGTATTCACACTCGTGATCATCGAAATGAACTATTGTTGATGATATTCATGAAAATATGAAATGCATGTTTCAGTTCGAACGAGAATTTGAGTGGATGAAACAAGAAGTGTAGTGTATGAGTGATAGTCGGAAACAATGTTCACATTCAACTGCAATGAGGACCACATGCACTCGTTGATTTTGTGAATCGATCAGTGACAAAGCACCATCATTATACTGGAATTACTGGATTGTGAATTCGTCCTACTATCGTACACATCAGTGTTGTGCATCCATGAGGTGATAAGTAGTGATATTAATAAACAACAGACACATTAAACTCCGATAACAACCACATGCAATCTTTCACAGAGTATTTGAATGAGACAGGTTAATACTCAGTGAAGTGAATCAAAATGATGTTGACGATCACTTACCCAGGTCCATAATTGCACACAATGCTCAGTCCGTATGGGAAATTGGGACAATTCGTAACACCACATCCAACATCAGTAGTGTCTTCCCAAACAATCTGCAATGAACAAACAGATGGTTAACTGATGAGTAGTGTGTCGGGAGAGAGAGAACATGTTTCGTGTCGTTCACAAATATCAACAGTCAATGATCACAACGAGAAGTACTTGGTAAGTCCGATCGATTTCACATCACTCAAACACATTGACAGGGAGCAGAGCGTAGAGCAGACAGTATGTAGAATGTTCCCCATATGTGTGTTGATGTGACATCGGATATTTGGATGTTACAAATTGTTATGTTAGACTGGTTAGCATTTCATCAATCTCGGTCTATCTGTGATCAGTAGTCGACTTGACAACTGTCTCACAAGCAGTTATTTTAACAAGAATGCAGTGAGTGTTCTGGTTGTAATGCTCACCTGAGTATAATGACCACACTGACCCATACGACAGGTTTTTGTGTAGAAGTCGTAGTTCTTGTATTCATCCAGCCATAATTGAAATCCGCTTGATGCGAGTTGAAAAACAACAAACAAACGAAACAGGAAATGGAACATTTGCAAAAATGAACAATCAGATACATGAGAGTAAAACGACATGTTTAGCTAGGAACAAGAAGGATTCCACTGCACAGATGAACACGCAAAATGCAGCTCATCTCAACACATCATCTTGATTATTGTTGTGTCCAGGTCAAGCATGTCTGTGATGAATTGAGTTGAGTGACATCGGTCTGTGGTCACACCGATGGCAATCAGTTCACGGTTCAATGCGATCACTTGTTGAGTGTGAAACCAGTCCATCCTGTCTGTTTCACCATCATCCTCAATCTCTCCTCACTCACCTGTCTTCGTCACATCGACTTCCACAACCACGTCGTCCGTGATCTGTGTAGTGACGAGTGGACTGTTTGACATGTGTGTGTTTTTGAGTGAGTGTTTGTGGAAATTGGAGTGACGTTTGGTGATGATTGTTTATGAGTGAGCAGATGTTTAGTGATTGCTTGAATAATATTAGAGCGACTCGACTTCAGTCTGTTATGATGATGATGATGATGATGATGATGATGATGGTGCATGTCGGTCGATTAGATGGTTGATATAACACGCCTATCAATGTAGATGAGAAATTCGCAAGTGCATGATTTGATGAGATTGACACATTTTACACAATGCACTTACGTGAGACACTTACGTTTTTATGTCTTTCGCACCTGCCCAATTCTGTCCAACATATTGAAATTGTGGTATTTTACGATCAGCATTTGTATCATGTCCAACACGACACTTGTCAGACAGCATTTGTGCTTTCCTCTCCAATTCCGTATTCCATCTCTGTATAAATTTGATTGAGTAAGCAATTAATTAGGTGTTCATTTACTATGCATTTACTAATAAAACGACGTTATTGGACCAAATGAAATTCTGTGAAGAGTTATTTGCAATCATCAAATCAATGTACCATGACTTAGAGATTGTATTTTGTCTAACAGTCAGGCAACTACTGCAACAAATTCCTTGTTTTCTTTTTAGGTTAATGCAAACTATGCACGAATGATGCTCCATAGGATGCTCCATTGAAAAATGGAAATATCCGATCGGCATAGACTGTCGCATTCTCCTCACATGTGATATCAGTCATACTCACATGTTCACAACGACCTGATTGTCTGCTCATCTGTGAGCATGCATGTCGACACATCTCACATCGAACAACTTCTTTCATGTAACTAGACTTACATCAACCTACTCATCTGAGGTCAAACATTGTTCACTTAAACATCATTCTAAGCAACCTATATCTCACCAACCACTGTCATTCGAAACAAGCATGTTCAGCAGTGTTAAGAACATTGTCACATCTACACATTGATGGTAATCAGTCAGTTGGTCACCTACCACACAAAACAAATCAACAACCATTTCATTCGATCATCAACAAACTGCCACCTACATTCACACACATCCAACCACCGTCTCAATCTCTCTCTCTCCCTATCTCTCTCTCTCTGTCTCACACTCTCACACTGTCTATCACTCTCATCACTAACATGTGTCTGCAATCAAACCAAATGCAGTGTACACTGAAATCGATTTGCCCATATCAAAACAAAATTTGCATGAACATTGATTTGTATGAGAGAACCGTTATTCTTACCAGTGATTTTATAGAGACTGCTCTCGGTTGTCCTTTCAACTGACCATTGCGAACAGATTGTCTTGCGTTATTGTGCAGAGTCAACAACTCCGTTCTCATCGCCTCATTCAAACGCGCATGAACACAGGAACACACTAGTAAACAGCACATCAACAACACCACTGTCAACAGGTCACCACAACATTTGGAAGACATTTCGATGAGACCACACTTGCACTGCTTGTGTGACTTACGAACGATCAGTTGTGGGCTCTTATTTATATACTGCATTAGGTCAGTTGGTCGGTTAATCAACACAAGTTATGGTGACTAAACTGACCTCTGATACTTGTCATTTAGTCTTATGAGTGTTTGGTTGTATTGTTGGAGAATACAAATCAGTCGAATGATCAGGTATGAATGAGTAGTGTTAAATGGAGGTGTTCACCTCTGTCGATAAGCGTCAATCAACGCATATAATTTGAGTGAAACGCCCAACACTTAACAATTGTTTAATCCCTTACTGGTTGGTCATTACTGTGACCCTCTTCATTTTACTAACAATCAAGAAATTGTATCAGTTGAACACATATGACTAATCGTTTGTTGTTGATTCATCCATCGCCTTCCTCATACTATTCGTCAGGTGTGTGTGTGTGTGTGTGTAATCACTGTTCTCATTGCAGTTGACCACATTGTACCGATTTGCATCAAGTGAATTATTTGAGTCACTACAAATCATGGCATCTGAGTATGCAAGAACTAATTTCATTTTTCTTACTATTTATCAGTTTGTGTGTTCCTGATTGTGACGGTATTTAAAAGTGCTTTGTGTGTTTGTTTTGTGAAAAGTGTCTATCATTATTATTTTTATGAATCTGACTATCTTCAAATGACCTTTTTGAATTCATAGTAATTCAACTCATTGATTTTCATTTGTTTTCATCTTACATTGTCGTTCAGGTTTACAGATGGTGCAGGAAGTTGTTGCATCAGGCAACCGATCTCAAAATCCATCTTCCATGCAACCGCAGAGCACGTGATTGAAATATTTCATGTACATGTTTCCAGGATCGTAACAACTATTTTACTAAATACATAATGCAAAACAGTTTCTGTTGTACTAATTCAAATCATTTCGTGATGATCTATTACCATTTGATATGCGAGTACTATCTCTCATTTGTACTACGATTATAAAATATTTAGTGAGGTAATGAGCATAGTTTATGCAATCGAATATTTCATCCGATCGTCAGCAATCTGCTTTCGAAATTCGGCTACATCAAATTACCGTATTAATCTCTCTCTAAGTCTTTTACTCTTTTTCTGTTTCGCTCTCACTCTTTCTATCTCATCAGTACGTCTGCCTACACTGAAAACAACTGAAGTGTACACTGAAATCAAATTGCAATAAACGAAGATTCCTCACGAAGCTAGTCACTAGTGAGCACAGGTAATTTGCATTACGGGGATGTGAATATTGTTATGTTACACGTTTTTGAATCTCGTAATGCAAATTATCAAATAATAATTAGTTTGTGAGTAATTGAGGCAAAATAAACCGTCAAACATCAGTTGTACACTATGCACACTGATGCAAGAAATTCTAATTAAAGCCGCATGTTACTGATAATTTATTTGTTCCGGTATCATCAGTCTTGTTCCATTAGTTCTGGCTAATGCAAACAAATCAATTTCATAATTCCAGTACCATTGAGAGATGTTACTCTCTTTCCCTGTAAATGATGAGAGAATATGAACTGATGATTGAGATTAATGCAAACACAAA